TGGGGACATTGGGGGGACACCTTGGGGGGGTGATATTGGGCAGGGACATTGGGGGAGCGACACTGGGGGGGTGATACCGGGGGGGGACATTTGGGGGCCATTGGGGGGGCCATTGGGGGGGTGACACCAGGGTGACACTGGGGGGGGGGGGGAAATTGGGGGTGGACACATTGGGGTGACAATAGGTGGGGACACTGGGGGGGTGTCAGTGGGGGGTTGTCAGTGGGGGGTTGTCAGTGGGGGGGGTTCAGTGGGGGGGTGTCAGTGGGGGGGTGTGGGGGGCACATGGGGGGGTCAGTGGGGGGCACATGGGGGGGTGTCAGTGGGGGGGGTGTCAGTGGGGGGGGTGTGGGGGGGACACTGGGGGGTGTCAGTGGGGGGGTGTCAGTGGGGGGGTGTGGGGGGCACATGGGGGTGTCAGTGGGGGGGGTGTGGGGGGACACTGGGGGGGTGTCAGTGGGGGGGGGTGTGGGGCACATGGGGGGTGTCAGTGCGGGGCACATGGGGGGTGTCAGTGGGGGGTGTCAGTGGGGGGGGGTGTGGGGCAGATGGGGGGTGTCAGTGTGGGGCAGATGGGGGTGTGGGGGGGGCACATGGGGGGGTGTCAGTGGGCGGGGTGTGGGGCAGATGGGGGGTGTCAGTGGGGGGGTGTGGGGCAGATGGGGGGTGTCAGTGGGGGGGTGTGGGGCAGATGGGGGGTGTCAGTGTGGGGCAGATGGGGGGTGTCAGTGGGGGGGTGTCAGTGGGGGGGGTGTGGGGCAGATGGGGGGTGTCAGTGGGGGGGTGTGGGGCAGATGGGGGGTGTCAGTGGGGGGGGTGTGGGGCAGATGGGGGGTGTCAGTGGGGGGGTGTGGGGCACATGGGGGGTGTCAGTGGGGGGGGTGTGGGGCAGATGGGGGGTGTCAGTGGGGGGGTGTGGGGCAGATGGGGGGTGTCAGTGGGGGGGTGTGGGGCAGATGGGGGGTGTCAGTGGGGGGTGTGGGGCAGATGGGGGGTGTCAGTGGGGGGGTGTGGGGCAGATGGGGGGTGTCAGTGTGGGGCAGATGGGGGGTGTCAGTGGGGGGGTGTCAGTGGGGGGGGTGTGGGGCAGATGGGGGGTGTCAGTGGGGGGGTGTGGGGCAGATGGGGGGTGTCAGTGGGGGGGTGTCAGTGGGGGGGTGTGGGGCACATGGGGGGTGTCAGTGGGGGGTGTCAGTGGGGGGGTGTGGGGCAGATGGGGGGTGTCAGTGGGGGGGTGTGGGGCACATGGGGGTGCCGGCGGCGCTGACCCTGCCGATGCGCCGATGGTCCCTCAGCGCCGCCTCCTCCTGCGCCCGCTCCCACCGGGCCAGCTCCAGGCCGCTGGGGAAGGCGACGGCGGCGACGCGCTGGAGGGAGCCGGAGCCCAGCCCCTGCCACAGCGCAGCGGAGCTCTGGGGGGGGGAGAGAGGGGGTGACCCATGGAGTCCTGCCCCATAGCCTGCCCCATAGCACTGCAACATAGCCCTGCCCCATAGCACTGCCCCACAGCCTGCCCCATATCACTGCCCCATAGCCTGTCCCATAGCACTGCCCCATAGCACTGCCCCATAGCCCTGCCCCATAGCCCTGCCCCATAGCACTGCCCCATAGCCTGTCCCATAGCACTGCCCCATAGCACTGCCCCATAGCCCTGCCTCATAGCCCTGCCCCATAGCCCTGCCCCATAGCACTGCCCCATAGCCCTGCCCCATAGCACTGCCCCATAGCACTGCCCCATAGCACTGCCCCATAGCCCTGCCCCATAGCCCACTCCATAGCCCTGCCCCATAGCCCTGCCTCATAGCCCTGCCTCATAACCCTGCCCCATAGCCCACTCCATAGCCCTGCCCCATAGCCCGCCCCATAGCCTGCCCCATAGTACTGCCCCGTAGCCTGCCGCATAGCCCTGCCCCATAGCCTTACCCCGTAGCCTGCCCCAGAGTACCACCCCATAGCCCTGGTCCACAGCCCGACCCCATAGCCCCAACTCACAGCCCTGCCCCATAGCCTGCCCCACACCGACCGTACCGAGAGGACGCGCAGGGCCCCGATGAGCCCCGTGTGCCGCAGGAGGGGCCCGCGGCAGAGCTGGAGCTGGGGCCCGCACCTGAGGGGGAGCAGAGGCTGGGAGGGGGGCACAGGCAGGGCCCCCCAGCCCCACAGACCCCGCGCTCACCTGTAGAGAGTGGCCAATGGGGCCGGCACCGCCTCGAGCTGCTGCAGCTGGAACCGGTTGTGCTGGGGGGGGGACAGGGGGTGACACCGGTACCACTGACACCGGTACCACTGACACCGGTACCACTGACACCGGTACCACTGACACCGGTACCACTGACACCGTTCCTCACTGACACCGGTACCACTGACACCGGTACCATTGACACCAGGTACCATTGACACCGGTACCACTGACACCGGTACCACTGACACCGGTACCACTGACACCAGTACCATGGATACCAGGTACCATTGACACCGGTACCACTGACACCGGTACCACTGACACCGGTACCATTGACACCGGTACCACTGACACCAGGTACCATTGACACCGGTACCATTGACACCGGTACCACTGACACCGGTACCACTGACACCGGTACCATTGACACCGGTACCATTGACACCGGTACTATTGACACCGGTACCACTGACACCGGTATCATTGACACTGGTACCACTGACACCAGTACCATGGACACCGGTACCACTGACACCGGTACCACTGACACCAGTACCATGGACACCGGTACCACTGACACCAGTACCATGGACACCGGTACCACTGACACCGTTCCTCACTGACACCGGTACCATTGACACCGGTACCACTGACACCGGTACCATGGACACCGGTACCATTGACACCGGTACCATTGACACCGGTACCACTGACACCGGTACCATTGACACCGGTACCACTGACACCGGTACCACGGACACCGGTACCACTGACACCGGTACCACTGACACCGGTACCATTGACACCAGGTACCACTGACACCAGTACCATTGACACCAGGTACCACTGACACCAGTACCATTGACACCAGGTACCACTGACACCGGTACCATTGACACCAGGTACCACTGACACCAGTACCACTGACACCGGTACCACTGACACCAGTACCATTGACACCGGTACCATTGACACCGTTCCTCACCTCCAGCAGCTCCCGGAGCCGTTCCCTCGGTGCCTCCAAGCGCTCGAAGCGGTGCCCGGCGCGGGCGAAGGCGGCGCAAGCCCCTTCCAGCGCCTGCAGGTCCCCACGCGGCACCGTCCTGGGCGGGGGGGGGGACACGGACACACGTTGGGATGTGTGGGGCAGCCCCATAGCGGGCTATGGGGGGGTATGGGGGGGGGTCCCCCCTCGTACCGGTCGCCCATGTGCACGTCGCAGTGGAAGCCATCCTCGGTGGCGCTGGCGCGGCAGAATGTGGCCCCATAGAACTGCTCCAGCACGGCCCCCAGCACGAAGGCTCCCGAGCGCCAGAAGGCCTGGGGGCAAGGGGGGGGGGAATGGGGGCTATGGGGCACAACTGGGGGGTGTGGGGCATAGGGGATGTGGGGCACAAGGGATGTGGGGCAGAAAGGGGGAATGTGGAGCATAAAGGACAGTGTGGGGCACAAGGGGGATGTAGGGAACAGGGGGGATGTGGGGCACAAGTGGGATGTGGGGCACAAGGGGGCTGTGGGGCACAGGGGGGAGGATGTGGGGCACAGGGGGGATGTGGGGCACAGCAGAGGATGTGGGTCACAATGGGGGGATGTGGGGCACAAGGGGGATGTGGTGCTCAAGGGATGTGGGGCACAAGGGATGTGGGGCACAAGGGGAATGTGGTGCTCAAGGGATGTGGGGCACAACGAGGATGTGGGGCACAAGGGGGATGTGGGGCACAAGGGATGTGGGGCACAATGGGGCCGCTATGGGGCAGGAGCAGCCCCCCCACCTCTCGCCCCTCTGCCGAGCTGAAGTCCAGCAGCTCCAGGTCGCTGTCGCCCTCCAGCGGCTGCTCCAGGTCCTGCAGGGCCCCGTTCACGCGGGCCACGAGCGCCGCCTCCGCCGCCCTGCGGGACACGGGTACACGTGGGGGAGCTGTGGGGCGCTCTGGGGTTTCAATGGGTCCCTATGGGTCTCTATGGGTCCCTATGGGGTTTCTATGGGTCCCTATGAGGTTTCTATGGGTCCCTATGGGGGTTCTATGGGGCTCTAAGGGATGTATATGGGTCTCGATGAGGTCTCTGTGGGGTCACTATGGTGTCTCTGTGGGGTTTCTATGGGTCTCTGTGGGTTCCTATAGGGTCTCTATGGGCTCTCTGTGGGTCTCTGTGGGTCACTATGGGGTCCCCGTGGGGCTCTCTGGGGTCTCTATGGGTTCCTATGGGTCTCCATGGGTGTCTCTGGGTGTCTCTGGGGTCTCTATGGGGTGTCTGTGGGTCTCTATGGAGTCCCTATGGGTCCCTATAGGTCTTTATGGGTCCCTATGGTTGTCTCTGGGGTCTCTATGGGTACCTATAGGTTTTGTATGGGCCTCTATGGGTATCTATGGAGCTCTATGGGTCTCTATAAGGTCTCTATGGGGTCTCTATAGGTCCCTATGGGTCTCTATAGGTCCCTATGGGTCCCTATGGGTCTCTATAAGGTCTCTATGGGGTCTCTATAGGTCCCTATGGGTCTCTATAGGTCCCTATGGGTCTCTATAGGTCCCTATGAGTCTCTATGGGTCCCTATGGGTCTCTATGGGTCCCCACCCCAGCTCCGCCGCCACCATGTAGGGCGTGGTCTGCAGGGCCCGGCCGGGCAGGAGGCGGCCCCCGGGCAGCGCGATGCGGATGGGGGCGCCGGGGGCGGGGCTTCCGGTGCTCCCGGTCCCTCTTCCGGTGCTCCCGGTCCCGCTTCCGGTGCTCCCGTTTCCGGTGCTCCCGTTTCCGGTGCTCCCGGTCCCGTTTCCGGTGCTCCCGTTTCTGGTGCTCCCGTTTCCGGTGCTCCCGGTCCCGTTTCCGGTGCTCCCGGTCCCGCTTCCGGTGCTCCCGTTTCCGGTGCTCCCGTTTCCGGTGCTCCCGGTCCCGTTTCCGGTGCTCCCGGTCCCGTTTCCGGTGCTCCCGGTCCCGTCGTTCCCATCCTGGCGGAGCCGCTGGAACAACCGGAAGCGGTCAGGATCGGGCCCGGAGACCTGGGGACAGGGTCAAAGGTCAAAGGTCACGGTGGGGTGCAGGGGTCCCGGGGGTGGGGGGGGCCCGGTAAGGGGGGAGGGGGAGGGGGGAGGGGCGCACCCGGTACCGGCGCGGGGCTCCCGCGAGCAGCAGCGCCCTGGGCGCACGCGTCATGACGTCAAGTTCCGCTCCTTCCGTCGCCGCGCTACGACGTCATCTGAGGGGGGCTAATGGGAAGGACGCCTGAAGCCCCGCCCCGAGGCGGCTCGACCAATCCGCTTGGAGGGGGGGCGGCGTGGTCAGCGCGGAGGGGGCGGAGCCCTGGTTCTCCCCCGCCGCCCGCAATGGATTCGCCCGCCCCTAGCGCGGCCCCGCGGTACCGGAGGGAACCATGGGGAGGGATGGGGAGGGATGGGGAGGGTACAGGCATGGGTGCAGACGGGATAACGGGATACTGGGATAACAGCATAACGGAATACTGGGATAACGGGATACTGGGATAACGGAATACTGGGATAACGGATAATGGAATACTGGGATAACGGGATAACAGAATACTGGCATAACGGGATACTGGGATAACGGCATAACGGAATACTAGGATAACAGGATAATGGGATAACGGAATAATGGGATAACGGGATAATGGGATAACGGGATAACAGAATACTGGGATAACGGGTTAACGGAATACTGGGATAACGGGATAATGGGTTAATGGGATAACAGAATACTGGGATAACGGAATACTAGGCTAACGGGATAACGGAATACTAGGATAACGGGATAATGGGTTAACAGGATAACGGGATACTGGGATACTAGGCTAACGGGATAATGGGATAACGGGATACTGGGATAACGGGATAATGGGATAACGGGATACTGGGATAACGGGATAATGGGATAACGGGATACTGGGATAACGGGATAATGGGATAAAGGGATACTGGGATAACGGGATAATGGGATAACCGGAACCTCCCCCCTGCAACCCAGAGCGAAAGAAAAGGAGCCGCCACCTCCTGGTGTTTTGGAGTCTTTATGTGGATATTGAACCCTACACCTTGATCAACCGCAACGATGGATTCTAGCAACTAAAAACCAACCCCCCAAAAAAGAAAATCAAGTAAAATCCCAACTTCATATAAAAGCCGCCGTTTTTTGAGGGGGGGGGGGGACGGGAGGGGGGGGGGGGCCCTGGCAGGCTCCATCCGCGCGCTTCCAGAGGGTGATTCCCAAGGGATTCGTGTTCAGAGCCCCAAATATGGGGGGGGGACCAACGGTGTCGGGGGCTGTTTGTGCCATTGGGGGGGGGGCTGAACTGGGGGAGCTCAGCACCATAAAGGGAAGGGTTTGGGGCCTTCGTCCCCCCCACCCCAGCAATGTTGGACCCTTCCTCTTCTTATCGTTTTTCCCCCTTTTTTTTGCATTCATTTTAATGTTTTTCAGTTCTTTGGGATGGGGGGCAGGAAAAGGCTTTTCCTGGGCGCTGGTTCTGCACCAAACGGGGGGAGGTGGAGCAAAAAACGAAGGGAAATTGGAAAGAAAAAAGCGTAAAATTAGAGAATATTTAATTTAGAGAATTTTTTTTTTGGGGGGGGGGAGGGGAGGGGCAAGGAAGAAAAAAAAAAGGGGGAAAAAGTGGAAAACAGAAGGAAAAATCCCAAGGGGGAAGCGCTGCTCTAGAGGCGCGTGGGGGGGGGGCGGGTTAGGGTTGGGGGGGGGGTGATGTCTGCGCTCAGGGCGGCTGCTTCAGTACCGGGGGGGGAAAAAGGGGCGTTTGGGGGTGAAGAAGGGGGCCCCCCCCCTGCCAAAGGGGGGTCGTGGCCGTTTCAGGCTATGGAAGGGGTCTCTGCTCCCAAAGGGCTCCCTGGGCCTGAACTCGGTGCGGGGGTTCCTGAGCAGCACCCCCCCGCGCCCCCCAGTGCTTGGGGGGGGGCCCAAAGGCCTCGGTGCTGCTGCTGCCGCTGCTCCCCCCCCAGCCAAGGGATCCCTGGACAGGGGGGTCATGGCCACGGCTTCCCGAGCGCGGGATAAAGGAGCCGGGCCCAGATCCCGGCTTTGGGGCTGCGCTTCCCGGGATGCGGCGTGGCCGGAGAAATGCTCCTTGAGTGTCCCAGGGTGGAGGGAGCCGTGCTCCAGAGCCGGGGGGGGCGGCGGGGGGGGAGGCGGCGGCGGCGCTGGGAAGGGGCCGGCGGCTCCGTGCTCCCCCGCTGCCGGAGGTTGGGATGGGAAGGGGATGTTGGGATGCTCGCCGGGAACGGGCGGCGGAGGGGGAGCGGGGAAAGGGACGCCGGGATGGTCGATGGCGGCGGGGGGGGGCAGCGCGAGCGGAGCCGAGGCTTCCTTGGCGAAGGGGTTGCTGTGATCCACGGCCGGCAGGCGATCCCTTGGGAATAAGGCGCCGTGGTCCTTGGGGGGGGGCCCTGGATCCCGCGGGAAGGGAGTCCCGTGCTCCATGGCAGGCGGTGGCGGCGGTGCCGCCGCCAAGTGATGCTCGAAGGGCGCGGTGAAGCTGTTGCTCCGGAAGTTGTTGACGCTCTCCGGGAACGGCGGCGGTGGCGGAGCCGCCACGTGCTCCTTGTAGGGAGTTGGGAATGCCGCCGCCATGGCGGGATGCTCCGAGGGGCCGTTGCTGAAGGCGCCGCCAGCACCGGCGCCGAGCTCGAACCAACCCCTGCTCCCTTCCCGCCCGTGGCCTCTGCTCCCTTTGCCCAAGCCCCGGATGGATTCCACCGTCTGGATGGGTTCTCCCGGCATTCCGCGGTTGGAAGCGTTGTGGTAGCCCAAGGTTTCGATGGGAGCCCCTTTCTCCTCGCCGCCGTCGGGTAAGTCCAAGCAGGAGGAGGAGGAGGACGAGGAGGAGACGCGCGTCTCGATGCGGAAGTGCTCCTCCTGCCCTTTTCCTTTGGGATCGCCGGCCTCGGATTTGGGAACGGCAGCAAAATGCTTCTCTTCCGAGGGTTTGCGCGAAGCGTTTTTGAGCATGGTCTTGAATTCCATGGTGGACGTGGTGGAGATGGGAGAAGCCAAAGGTTTCTCCACGTTGGGAAGGGACGCTTGGGAAGAGAACAGGGAACGGAGGGGAAGGGAGTGGGGAGAGTCTGGGAACGGCTTGGGAGCGAGGCCGGGATGCGCCACGGCCTTGGGCAGGGCGTTGTGGTTGGAGTCGGCGGCGAAGAAGGCGTCGTTCTTCCCGGGGGAATGGGATCCATCCGAGGTGGAATCGTTGCCCCGGAGGCCATAGCTCCCATAGAGCCCCGGGGATGCAGCCAAGGGGTCGCAGGGCTCGCTCTGCTCCAGGATGGATCTCATGGATGGAGGGAAGGGGGCCTTCATCCCGAAGTCCTGCACCCTCTGCGCGTAGGCGGGCAGGAGCGGCTGGAATTCCGCGCCTTCGGAAAGCTTCCTGGATTTCAGGATGGATTTGGTGGGTTTCTTCTCCAGGTTGAGCATGGCGGCCGGCGGCGGCCCCGCGTACTCGAAGTCGCGGTAATCCTCATCCTCGTGGAAAGGGGCGTCGGGATAGAACTTCTCCTGGGAGGATTCCAGCAAGGAGGAAGGCAGCTCCAGGCTGTCGGCAGGCTGCTTGTAGAGCCCGCCGGGAGATTCCCTCCCCATCCCAAAGGGCCGGTAGGAATGCACGGCGCTGGGAAGCTCTTGGGAATAGCCCTCGTCCCGGCTCTGCAGCGGGGACCGCGTGCTGCTGGGAGTGGAAGAGCCCGGGCTCATGATCTTGGACAGCAAGGAGATGGTATCCACAGTGCTGGCAGCGGGTTTATCCATCATCTCATCCTGGGTAGGGGTCCCGCTCCGCTCATCCCGCACCGGCGTCCCGTCCACGTTATCCATGGAAGCGCTGGTGGGAGCCCGTTGGAAGTCGGGCGCGTGGCTTTCCGGCGCCGTGCCGGCCCCTAAGCTGCTGAGGATGGGGATGTTCAAGTTGAGGCCGCTGAAGCCCGGGTTTCCCTTCAGGAAGTTGTGGATCTTCATCTCCAGGCTGGGAGAAGGCGGCTCCGCTTCCAGCTTGGCTTTGGGAAGCTCGGAGCCTTGAGCCAGAGGGGTTTCTGCGGGCAACAGGGATGAGGGGCTCGGGGGGTGGGAGCTGGGAAAGGCCAAGGAATTGCTTGGAGGCTTAAAAGAAGGGATGCCCGGGGGGGGTCCAATGGGGGCTTTGTTAACAGGGGCGGAGGAGACCTCGGCACTGGAGGAGTTGGGAGAATACCCGAAGCCTTTGGATAGGAAGGACTGGGAGCTGGGAGGAGGAACATTCCTGCCCTTCCCGCTGGGAATGCTGGCGCCGGCGGGAGAGGCGGCGGTGCTCTGGGAAGAGGCTTCGCTGGCTTGAACGGAGCTTCCAGCCACGCTCTGGAGCAGGGAGGATAAACCTGGGAAGAGCAGAACCCGGGAGGGGGGGTGAGGCCCAAATCCCACCTCCACGGGAGGAACTTCCCGATCCCGAGCCCTGGAAGTGGCTTTGCCCATGGGGGATGTGGGAGTCTCCATCCCAACGGCACCGCGCCGCCTCGGTCACCATGGTCCCTGTTGCGGAGGGCGAGCGCAAAGCCCTGCAGGGTTCTGCATGGCACCGGGGTCATGGCACATGGATGGAGCCATCCAGGAATCAGGGAATGCTTTGGGATGAAGGGACCGTAAAGCTCATCCGGTTCCAGTGGCACCTTCAGCCTAAGACCCCACCTCCGGCAGCTTAAAGCCATCCCCGCGTGCGCTACGGGAGAAGGCAGTGGGATTCACCGAGGGCTTTCTATATCCCAATTTAAGGAATTCTCCCCTCTGTATCCTGGATAAAGGCTGCCATTCCCACCCCCTCCATCCCCGCTCCGGTACCTTGCAAAGCCGGCGCCGTCTGGGGCTGCGTTTTGGACAGAGCGGACAGAATGCTTTCCGGAGTGATTTCCACTTTGGAGAGGATGTTGGCCAAGGGATTGGGAGGAGCAGAGGGGGGAGCCAGGGCGGGAGGCTTCAGCCCACTGCTGAGAGCTGTGGGGCTCGTGGGGGTGCCTGGAGAAGGCCTGGAAGCTGGGCTCACACCTAGGACAGAAGGGACACCGCGCTCAGCACCATCGCTTTGGGCCCCAGAGGATGCCCCTTAGCCCCAAAGGATGCTCCTTAGCCCCAAAGGATGCTCTTTAGCTCCAGAGGATGCTCCTTAGCCCCAAAGGATGCTCTTTAGCCCCAAAGGATGCTCTTTAGCCCCAGAGGATGCTCTTTAGCCCCAAAGGATGCTCTTTAGCCCCAAAGGATGCTCTTTAGCTCCAGAGGATGCTCCTTAGCCCCAAAGGATGCTCTTTAGCCCCAAAGGATGCTCTTTAGCTCCAGAGGATGCTCCTTAGCCCCAAAGGATGCTCCTTAGCCCCAGAGGATGCTCTTTAGCCCCAAAGAATGTTCTTTAGCCCCAAAGGATGCTCTTTAGCCCCAAAGGATGCTCTCTAGCCCCAGAGGATGCTCTCTAGCCCCAGAGGATGCTCCTTAGCCCCAGAGGATGCTCTTTAGCCCCAAAGAATGTTCTTTAGCCCCAAAGGATGCTCTTTAGCCCCAAAGGATGCTCTTTAGCCCCAAAGGATGCTCCTTAGCCCCAAAGGATGCTCTTTAGCCCCAAAGGATGCTCTTTAGCTCCAGAGGATGCTCCTTAGCCCCAAAGGATGCTCCTTAGCCCCAGAGGATGCTCTTTATCCCCAAAGAATGTTCTTTAGCCCCAAAGGATGCTCTTTAGCCCCAAAGGATGCTCTCTAGCCCCAGAGGATGCTCTCTAGCCCCAGAGGATGCTCTTTAGCTCCAGAGGATGCTCTTCAGCCCCAGAGGATGCTCCTTAGCCCCAGAGGATGCTCTTTAGCACCAGAGGATGCTCTTTAGCCCCAAAGGATGCTCTTTAGCCCCAGAGGATGCTCCTTAGCCCCAAAAGATGCAAGAGCTCAGCACCCACCTGTGTTCTTCATCACCGAGGTCAAGCTGCTGAGGATGGAGCTGATCTTGGCCAGGTCCACATTGGCCAGGTTGGGCAAGGCAAGGGCAGGGGCCGGAGGGGCGGGCGCTGCCTTCGGGGCCGGAGGGGTCGGGGGGGCCTGGGTTGGTGCCGGCACCGGCACCGGCACCGGGGTTGGTGCCGTGGTGCTGGGCACGGCTTTGGGGATGCTTTCAGGCTTGGGGGGTGCTGGAGCCGTCGGCTTTTCCTTCCTCTCTTCCACTGCAAGGGGGGGAGAACAAGACCCCATCACAGAGGTGCTTGGGATACCGGGTTTTCCCATGGGATTCGGTCTAATTCATGGAATTCTGGCATGGGTTGGGGGGAAAGGGAGCCCTTCCACTAGAGCAGGATGCCCCAAGCTGGCCTTGAGCACTGCCAGGGCTGGGGCAGGCCCAGCTCCTCAGGGCACCCTGCGCTCCCAGGGAAGAACTTCCTTCTCTCCAAGCTGAATTCCCATGGGCAACACAGGATTCCCAGGAAAACACCTCAGAAAGCAGGCTGGGAGATGGGAATGGTCAGCACCAGGGTGCGGAGCAGAAGCCCAATGGCTCCCAAGCCAGCCCTCTGGGCATCCTCCCCATCCCAAAGGATGCTCCAAGGGGCAATTCCGGTTATCCCACCACCACCCACCGATGATTTTGGATGCGTCGTCCTCCACATCGGAGAGCTCCATGTCCTCCACGTCCCGGTTATCCGTCACCGGCTCCGGAGACGCCGGCTTCCGGCTCCCGACCGCCGGCGAACGGGCGTGATCCTCCTCTCCCATGCCTTGGAATGGCGACTCGGAGCCCGTGGGAGAGGGGGCATCCATGCTGGGGGAAGGGACGGGAGACTCCTCCGGATCGGGAAGCGTCGCTTTCAACTGGTCCAGCTTCTTCTTTAGGTTGCTCACACGGTTGGCAAAGGTTTTGTAAGCCTAAAGGAGAAGAAGGGCATGGAATGAGGAGTTATTATGGGATGTTTCCCTAAGGGGAAGCAGGGTGCAGCTTGGGAAAAGCATCGCCAGCTCTGCTTTGCCTGGGATCTGCAGGCCAAGAGCCATTAGGGAAAGGGAAGGGAAAACCTTTTCCCAGTGGCTCCATATCCCGAATCCCGCTTCCGACCGACCCTGCTGCTGGGCCTGGGTGTTCTCCCCAAGCCATCCCCAATTCCCACTTTATTCCTGCAGTTTGGATGCCGAGGGCTCTTCCCATCCTTTGGGAAGCACAACCCTGCCACAACCCCCCCCCCTCCGCCTTGGATCTTGGGAGCATCCAACCCCTGAATCCCGCTTCCCTTTGGGAAGAGGAGGGGATGCCTCCACTCACGTTGGCCACCACCTTGACTTCCTTGTACTGAGCCTCGTAGAAGATCCCGGCGTTTTCCAAGGCCTCCGTGAGGGAGGGCCCGTTCTTCACTTGCTTGTCCAGGCCATTGACGAATTCCTCCAGCTTGGAACTGGCTTCCTCAAATTCCTTGGAGAACTTCTTCCCTCCTGTTTTATCTGCACAGAAGGGAAGCAGGAGGCGAGGAGCTCAGCAAGGGAAGAGCTTCCCATCCCAATCCCACTCCCTTCTTCCAGCAGGTTGAAGCCATTCCCTTTATCCCACCCCTCCATCCCTGCATCCAAAGCCTCCTTTAGGCCCTGGAGCTCCTCCATGCAGTATCCATGACATTCCAGAGCCCAACGTGAGGCAGCTGGGCTTCAATTTCCCTTTGCCCCAGCTCAAGCCTGAACGTGCTGCAGCCTATTGGTCTCATGGCTGGGTGGGGGGGGGTGTGATCCCCTTTGATGGATCCTAATCCACTTCCAACACCAAATCCCACCTGATTTAACGGGATTGGGATGCTCCAAAGACAACACAGCCCCTAAACGGCGGGGTTGAAGAGCCCCAAGGCTTCCCATTAACACAGCTCCAAGGCTCCAAGGAGAGGGGGGAGCATGCAGAGCTGGATGTCATTCCCAAAGGAATGCTGGTGCTTGCTCCATGCTATCCTCACCTTTGAGACACTTGAGGGTCTCGGTGCTGCAGACGTCGACGCGGAGGGTGGAAAGCTGCTTCTCCTTGAGCTCCATCTGCTCCTCGGAGCGCTTGTACGAGAGCAGCTCCTCGATGAGAGCCTGTGGCTGGGAAGGGGAGCGAGGGAAGCATGGAAAAGCTGGGAATGGCAGGGATGAGCCCCAGCGCTCTGCTGCTTCCCGGGGGGGGGTTCCATGGGATCATGGAATGGTTTGGGATGAAGGGAGCTTCACGCTCAGCCGGTTCCATGGCAGCAGGATGGGGCATCCAAACCTCCTCCCTTCAACCCATTCCCGTGTCCCAGCACCCTCCCAGGGAAGAGCTCAGATCCCATCTCCATTCCTCTTATCCTGCTCTTCCATCCCTTATCCCAAGCCCCTCTTCCCGGTCTCCCGGAGCCCCTTCAGGCACTGGGGCTGCTCCGAGGTCTCTCCTTCAGGAGCTTTCCCTTCTCCATAGGAACACTGGCGCTTCCCAACCAAGCCCCAGGGCAATGGGATTCCACTTACCCTGAACTCAGCCACAATCTTGGACTTCAGAGCAGCTTTGGGATTGGTGGATGCTGTCGGGATAAAGACCAGGGATAAGGGAGAGCAGAAGGCACCAAGAGGCACAAGCAGCAGCTTCACATCAGCATCGAACCAGATCCCGCTCTTCCCGCTTCCAATCCCTCTCCATACACAGCCTTCAGTGCTCTCTGCCTTTTGGGAAGAGGAACCCCTACAAGAGTTGATCCAGGAGCCTCATCCAAGGAGTTGCAAGGAATCTCCTAGCACTTCCCAAGTGCCAGGCCTGAAATGCATCCTTTCCTGCCCCCCAAACCAGGAGAAGAAGCACGTTTCACCCTTCACCCATGCTGAATGCGGCACACTGGGGTTTGGGAAGCAGCTTGGGATGTGAAGGCAAGGACTGAATGCTTCCAGACTCTTGGATCAACCTGATGTGGGCACCCAACAGAGCTTATGGGATGTTCCTCCAGCCCTTAAGGCTTTAGGATGCAAGAGACGAATAAATCAGAGCATCCTTAAGCTATGGACCTCACTCAGCCCCATGTGCTGCTCCATTGTGGATCTTCTGAGCTCCACCTCCTCTTCCCAAATCCCTGGCCTTTTCCTCCCTCTCTTCCCTTAGGATCACCAAGCACCTGTTTGCTCCTGCTTTTCCTGCTCAATCCCAGAATTCCCATGGGATCCTTACCCGGAGCTTTCTTCCATGCCTTATTGGGTTGTTTGCTGAGGGTTTCTTTCAGCTGCTTTGTTTTGAACGTGGTACCTGGAAAACAGGGCAGGATTTGCAAGCAGGCAGCAGGGAATTCCCTAGGGATAATGCTGGGGTTTGAGAGGGGGGGGGACAGGGAAAGAGGGAAGAGGAAGTCGGATCCAATGGACATGGGATGCACCTGCATCCCCTCCGGCTCTCCCCGTGGCCCTGAAGCAAAGGGGGTTCCTCATTTGGGTACCACTGCCTCTTCCATCACCCTCCCCATCAACCCTTATCCCAACTGGTACCCAAGGAGAGCCAAGGCGCTGTGGGCCCGGCTTGGAGGAGCCCTGCTCCTTCCCATTCTGCTTCCTCCCAGCTGGAATAACTCCAGCTCCTATGGGAAGGACTCGGAGCTGCTTTAGGGATGCACATGAGGACTGTGGCTTCCCAAAGCAGAGGGGCAAAGGGGGAGGAACTCACTCAGAGCTTCCTTTAGGGCCAGGATGGTTTCCTCCGGGTACACGTTCCGGTCCTCCCAGATCTTGAAGATCCTCTCGATGGATTTGGATACGGATGGATCCCTGGAAAAGAGAGGAATGGGGTGGGTTTGCCTTACCTTGGCACTGGGATCCCTCCCAGTTCCACACTGGGAAGAGGTCAGGATTGAACTGCAGGGAGCCTCCAGGTGATGCTCTAAAGGCTCAAGCAGCGCATCCGCGTGCTTGGAATGACCCAGACACTTCCCACAGGCCTTTTTGGAGTGAAATGAGGAGGTTTTAGAGCAATAGGATCATTCCATGGCAAACACCATTGAGACAGGAGCTAATGCTCCATGCTTTCTCTATGTCCTGTCCTTTAAACACCAGGATTAAGGAACATTCCAGAGGCAAACGGAGGGCAGGAAGCAGAGGCAGGGATGGGATGGGGCTCAGCCCACTGGGATCCACACCAGTGCCCCATCTTCCCATCCCATGTTATTCCAACCATGGAACCATGGCATGGGTTGGGTTGGGAAGCTTCTCCCACAGATCCCATCCCTCTCCTCCATCCTAACCCTAACCCAACCCCATTACATGCTGCAATTAAACCCCCTTCCATGCTGGAATTACCCCCCCCAAACCCCATTCCATACTGGAATTAAACCCCCCCACCCCATTCCATGCTGGAATTAAACACCCCCCAACCCCATTCCATGCTGGAATTACACACACCCCCCCCCCCCCAGTTCCATGCGGAAATTACCCCCCTCCCCAACCCCATTCCATGCGGGAATTACCTCCCCCCCAGCCCCATTCCATGCGGGAATTACTCCCCCCCAGCCCCATTCCATGCTGGAATTACCCCTCCCCCATGCTGGAATCAACCCCCCCCAGCCCCATTCCATGCTGGAATTAAACCCCCTTCCATTCTGGAATTACCCCCCCCCAACCCCATTCCATGTGGGAATTACCCCCCCAACCCCATTCCATGCGGGAATTACCCCCCCAACCCCATTCCATGCGGGAATTACCCCCCCCCAACCGCATTCCGTGCGGGAATTACCCCCCCCAACCCCATTCCACACTGAAACGGCACTGCCGTCCACTCCCCCATTTTGCAGCATTCCAAAGGGGCCCGATCCCTGTTTTGGGAATCTCCCCCCCGCTGAGGACTCACTTGACCAAGGAGGCGGCCTCGGGCAGCACTTCGGCGAAGGCGTCGCGGAAGACGATGGCGTTCTTGCGCTTGCAGTTCTGGATGACGTCGTTGGCCAGGTAGAAGAGGTTGAGGCGGTGGGGAAAAGCGGCTGGAAGCAATGGGAATACCGAGGGCATCAAACGGGAGCAGACGGGAAGGAGCCAAGCCTTAAAAGCGGCCTCCAATGGGACACAATGAGCTCGGGGCCGCAGGCGGCACCGTGAGGATGTGCAGCGCAAGGGGTGAAGCCAACCCAATCCAACTCAACCCAATCCAACCCAACCCAATCCAACTCAACCCAACCCAACTCAACCCAATCCAACAAAACCCAACTCAAACCAATTCAACCCAACTCAACCCAATCCCATCCAGCTCAACCCAATCCAATCCAACTCAACCCACCTCAATCCAACCCAACTCAACCCAATCCAACAAAACCCAACTCAAACCAATTCAACCCAACTCAACCCAACCCAATCCAATCCAACCCAACTCAACCCAACTCAATCCAACCCAACTCAACCCAATCCAATCCAACTCAACCCAACCCAATCCAACTCAACCCAACCCAATCCAACCCAACTCAACCCAACCCAACCCAACTCAACCCAACCCAATCCAATCCAACTCAACCCAAGCCTCCTAGGAAGGGGGGGTCTGACCGCTGCCTGCAATAGGATGGAGCCAGGCTTGGATCCCATGGGATGGGGTCAAATGGGAATGGCTTCCAGCTGCCCCAAGGGGGGGTTGGATGGGGCTGAGGAGCAGTTCCTTGCCCCAAAGGGTGCTCAGGGCTCTCGATGCCATGGGGTGGGCTTGGGGGGCAGGAATGGAGGAGCTGTAAGGGGTCTGCTATGGGTGATTCCATGATTTCCCATGGGCGATTCCACAGTTTTCCATGGTTCATTCCATGATTTCCCATGCGTGATTCCATGATTTCCATGCGTGATTCCACGATTTCCATGGGTGATTCCACGATTTCCCATGGGTGATTCCACGATTTCCCATGGGTGATTCCACGATTTCCCATGGGTGATTCCACAGTTTTCCATGGGTGATTCCACAGTTTTCCATGGGTGATTCCACGATTTCCCATGGGTGATTCCACAGTTTCCCATGGGTGATTCCACGATTTCCCATGGGTGATTCCACGATTTCCCATGGGTGATTCCACAGTTTTCCATGGTTCATTCCATAATTTCCCATGGGTGATCCCTTGATTTCCCACAGGTGATTCCATGATTCCCCATGGGTGATTCCACGATTTCCCATGGGTGATTCCATGATTTTCCATGGTTCATTCCATGATTTCCCATAGGCGATTCCACAGTTTTCCATGGGTGATTCCATGATTTCCCAGGGGTGATTCCACGATTTCCCATGGGTGATTCCATGCTTTTCCATGGGTGATTCCAGTTTTCCATGGTTCATTCCATGATTTCCCACAGTAAATTCCATGATTTTCCATGAGTAATTCCAAGATTTCCCACATCCCATCCTTCCGACGTGCATTAACGCATCCAACCGGTGCTACCGGTGCCTTGGAGAGGGCTCATCCCCACCTTCGCTCCGCATGGATCCCACGGGATCGGCTTGGGATGAAAGCACCTTAAAGCTCATCCACCTCCACAGACCCAGACCCCTTCCATAGGGCAGGATGCTCCGAGCCCCATTGAACACTGCAGGGATAGGGGCAGCCCCAGCACCGCAATTCCCAACCTCTTGCGGCTCCAGCTGGAGACGGGATGGGGCCAAAAAGCCGGGAATGGAGACGCCAGCCCCAAAGCCCCAAATCTTCTACCCAAAGAGCTCCAAACGTTGGGAATTCCAGGGGTTTCTTTGCACTTCCAAGGAGCTACAAGGTGGGAAAGGAGCCCAAAAGCAAGGAGGGAGGCAGGGAAGAGAGGCTCTGCTCCATAGGGATGGAAGGAGGAAGCGGGGGGGTACCAGGAGCTCCAGTCCAAGAGGCTGAGGATGGGTCCATGCAGGAATGGGGGCAGAGATGGGCTCAGGCTGCAGTCCCCTCTTTAAGCCCAGCGTAAAGCACCATCAATCACCAACAGAGAAACGGGGAATGCTCTCCCTCTATCCCTGCTGGAATCCCTATGGAGCTCCCTAAACCCAACTCCTTCAGGCCTATACAAACACCCCCTTTAGATCCCCCCCCCCCCCCCCCCACCGTGTCCCTATGGGCCCGGCCCCCAACCCCGCCGGTGTTACCGGAGGCCCCACTCGCACTCACAGCGCCGCAACCACTTCATCCAGTGGCAGACGATGGTGCTGTGGTGCCGCTTGTTCTCCAGGCACCACGAGGACAGGCCCTGGATGGACTCCATGGTGTTGGTGACCGCCTGCAGCTTCCGATCCAGCGAGGCCTCCAAAGACGACGACGACGACGAAGAGGAGGAGGCGGCGGCCGCCGACGACGAAGAGGAGGAGGAGGAGGACGACGACGAGGCCCGCCCGCCGCCTCCGCCGCCCGCCGCCATCTTCGGGCCCTCCCGGAGCAGCGCTCGGCGGCCTCGTTACCCCCCCCCCCCCCCTCCCCTCCCCTCCGCCGCCGCCTCAGCGGCTCGGGGCCTTCAGCGGCGGCCCCCGACCTGAAGCCTAACGGGCAACCGGTTCGCAACGAGAGCCTCGGGGGCCCTTAGAGCCCCGCTTGAAAAGCCCCCGGGGAAGAAGAGAACGGGGAAGGGGGGGGGGGGGAAGGAGGAGGAGGCGGCAGCGGCGGCGGTCACCGGCCGGGCCCCCCCGAGCGCAGCGCCCGCCCCCCCGCCGCCATTTTGTGCCCGGGCTCCCCTCGCACGGGCCGCGGGCGCTGTGCGCATGCGCGGCTCCGCCCCTTGGCGCCCTTACTCCCCCCCCCTCCTTCCCCTTCCTCTCCCCCCTCCCCGACCCCAAGATGGCGGCGGGAGCTGTGAGGTGAAGCGAGGGAGAGCTCCGCTTTCGGGCTTCAAACGGCGCCGGAGGTGTAAAATAAAGCGATTTCTGAGGGGAAATAAGGAAGGAGGAAGCGGATCCTGCGCTGCCAGAGCCCAACGAGGGGTGCGCGCCCCAAAAATCCCCTCAGAAACACGCACGGCAGCAGGTACCCCCCCCCCAACCCCCTTAAATGGAACCCGGAGCGGGGGGGTTTGCATTAAAAAATAGGTCTTTAATGGCGGAAAGGGGGGGGGGGGGGGGCTCAATCCGTGCCCTCGAGCACGGACTCGCTGAGGGCCAGGTCCCAGTAGTGCTCGGCCCCGTGCTTCTTGAAGTGCTCCCGGGCCATGTTCTCCGTGGGGCACTGCTTGAACTTCATCTCGCCGAAGCTGCGGTCCTTGGCGGTGCCCTGGGGGGGGATGGAGCCCGTGGGGAAAGGAGGCTTCAAGGGGGGGGAAAGGGAATGGGGTGAAGCCTGAAGGGGGGGGGAAGGAGTGGATCCTATGGGGAAAGGAGGCTCCAAGGGGGGGAAAAGGGAATGGGGTGAAACCTGAGGGGGTGGGGGGGGAAGGGATGGATCCTATGGGGAAAGGAGGCTCCAAAGGGGGGGGGGGAAAGGGAATGGGGTGGATCCTGTGGGGAAAGGAGGCTCCAAGGGGGGGGGGGGGGAAGGGAATGGGGTGGATCCTGGGGGGGGGGGGGGGGGGAAGGGATGGATCCTATGGGGAAAGGAGGCTCCAAGGGGGGGAAAAGGGAATGGGGTGGATCCTGTGGGGAAAGGAGGCTCCAAAGGGGGGGGGGGGGGGGGGGAAGGGAAGGGATGGATCCTATGGGGAAAGGAGGCTCCAAGGGGGGGGGGAAGGAAACGGGGTGAAGCCTGAAGGGGGGCCTGGGGGCTGTTGGTGATGGGAACAGGGGGAATCACGTGATCCCGGCCACCTGGGATGGGGGGTTTGGGATGGAATTTGTGATGGAAATGGTTTGGGATGGCCCAAGTTTGGGATGGAAGTTGTTTGGAATAGGAGTTTGGGATGGATGTTAGTGTGGGATGGATGTCGTTTGGGATGGGAGTTTGGGACTGATGGCATTTGGGATGGCTGGCGTTTGGGATGTTAGTTTGGGATGGATGTTAGTTTGGGATGGGAGCTGTTTGGAATGGATGGCGTTTGGGATGGGAGCTGTTTGGAATGGATGGCGTTTGGGATGGGAGCTGTTTGGGATGTTAGTTTGGGATGGATGGCGTTTGGGATGGGAGCTGTTTGGGATGGATGGCGTTTGGGATGGGAGCTGTTTGGAATGGATGGCGTTTGGGATGTTAGTTTGGGATGGATGGCGTTTGGGATGGGAGCTGTTTGGGATGTTAGTTTGGGATGGATGGCGTTTGGGATGGGAGCTGTTTGGGATGGGAGCTGTTTGGGATGTTAGTTTGGGATGGATGGCGTTTGGGATGTTAGTTTGGGATGGATGGCGTTTGGGATGGGAGCTGTTTGGGATGGCCGCGATCCTCAAGCTCCTCCCATTGCAACCCCTGCCCCGGCAGGTGCTTTGCCTCCATTCCCAAGCCTTGGAAGAGCGCTTCCCCCTCCGCCCGGACAGGGGCAGATCCCTTGGGAACACCGACTCACCTCCCACACCAGCGAGCATTTGTTGCTCTTCTTCACAGCCTCCTCATCGGACTCCTCCTCATCTGAAACCCAACCCCAAAACCAGCCAAAATCCATGAATTTCAGCCCAAAAAAAGAGGAACGGGGGGAGTATCCCCCCAAAAAACTCACCCTCGCCCTTGGTGGCCGCCGTTTGCTCATCCCATTTGATCCGATGCAGCATGAGCCGCTTGAACTTCTTCTGTGCTTTGGGGCCTGGAAAGGAAGCCGGGATCAGAAGCCAAGGAGGAAGCAGCGGTTTTCCCCCTGGGAATTGCGCCATTCCCGGGCCTCACCTCCTTCCACCACCACCACGTTGACGTCCTTGTGCAGCACCACCACCCCGCTCAGGTAGAGCTGCCCCGCGTTGGCCTCGATCTTGAACTTCTTGGCTGGGTTGCTCAAGTTCCGCACCCTGCAGCGGGATAAGGCCCAAGGCGTTGCCACGGCTCCGTCGGGATGAGCCGCATCCCAAGAGCCCATCCCAAGCCCCTTCTTTGTGGCCATGAACAAGCAGGGAAGCATCAACCCCAGCGGCACCGCTCCACATTGCACCCATTGTGTTGAGGGGGTTTCCACGTGGGAGTCGTTGCTCCGGCCCCACATTCCTTAGGGATGGATGGAGGGATGGAGGAGGGGGTCAGCCTCACCTGTACACCGCTATGTGGACCCCCTGCGACACGTCCTCCTTGAGCTTCTTCACCTTCTTGGCTTTCCGCTGCTCGGCCGTCAGCTTCCGGGCGGCGTTGGCCTCCTCGTGGGCTCTGCACACACACACGGGGATGCAGCAGGCACCAAACATCCCAAAGCATCCCTAATTCATCCTCCCTGGAAGGCTCAGGAATAACAGGGATGAGCCTCATGGCACGAGGGATCCCTCCAGCAGCCCCAGTGGGCTCAAACCAACCCCATCTTTCCTCCATCCCTTCCCAAATGCATCCCTAATTCATCCTCCATGGAAGGCTCAGGAACAGGGATGAGCCTCATGGCAAGAGGGATCCTTCCCTCCAGCAGCCCCAATGGGCTCAAATCAACCCCATCTTTCCCCCATCCCTTCCCAAATGCATCCCTAATTCATCCTCCCTGGAAGGCTCAGGAATAACAGGGATGAGCCTCATGGCACGAGGGATCCCTCCAGCAGCCCCAGTGGGCTCAAACCAACCCCATCTTTCCTCCATCCCTTCCCAAATGCATCCCTAATTCATCCTCCATGGAAGGCTCAGGAACAGGGATGAGCCTCATGGCAAGAGGGATCCTTCCCTCCAGCAGCCCCAATGGGCTCAAACCAACCCCATCTTTCCTCCATCCCTTCCCAAATGCATCCCTAATTCATCCTCCATGGAAGGCTCAGGAACAGGGATGAGCCTCATGGCAAGAGGGATCCTTCCCTCCAGCAGCCCCAATGGGCTCAAACCAACCCCATCTTTCCTCCATCCCTTCCCAAATGCATCCCTAATTCATCCTCCATGGAAGGCTCAGGAATAACAGGGATGAGCCTCATGGCACGAGGGATCCCTCCAGCAGCCCCAATGGGCTCAAACCAACCCTGTATTTCCCCCATCCCTTCCCAAATGCATCCCAAAAGGAGCCCCCAAACCCCAACGTTCCACCTACTTCTGCCTCTTTGCCATCTGGGCTCGCACGTGCGCTTCCACTTTGGTTGGATCCTGCACAGCTTCCGTGCCCAAAACCCGCATCAAGTTGGAGATCCGGACTGCAAAGGGAATGGGAATGGAGATTCCAAAGGATCCTGGGGGTTTGGGATGAGGTTTCCATGGCCCCATGGCCCCCATGGCCTCACCTTTGGGCTCCGGAGGTGGCATCAGGCCCAGCCTGACCTTCTCCTGCAGCTCCTTCTGGGCCTCCCTGCGGGTCTGGCGCCGCAGCTTCTTCTGCTCCTTCTTGGTTAAATAAACCCCTAAAGTCACGGGGGTGTCGCTGTCCACTGCGGGAACAAGGGATGGAGAATGGGAATCTCCAAAGGAAAACCGGGAATACCGTGCCCCGTGATGCTGTGGAGGGGTTGCAGCACACAGGGAATAGGGGAAAAGACGATGGGGGGGGGGTCTGGTTTTCTTCGGGGGGATTGAAATGTTGGGGCCAGGAGCAGAGGGATGTGGAGCTGTTGGAGCAGGGCTGGGTCAGCCTGGAGGAGAGAAGGGGAGCCCTTAGAGCAGAGCCTAAAGAGGCTGCAGGAAACCCGGAGAGGGGCTCGGGATGCAGGGATGGAAGGGGCAGGACAAAGGGAACGGCTCTGGAGATGGGATGTGCTGAGGCAGTGTGGATCAGAACTGGGGGTACCTGGTGGGTTGAGCTGGGCCGGGTGTTCCACGAGGTTTGTGATGCCAAAGTACTCGTCCCTCTTGGAAGACGTTCCGCCTTTTCTACATGGGAAAGGGCTGGGGGTGAGCGCAGCGCTCCCACAGCCTCCCATTCCCGTGTTCCCTTAGGAAACGTATCCATGGGCAGGGAATACAGCTCCGGGCACAACCCCATCCCTGGCAGTGCTCAAGGTTGGACACAGGGGCTTGGAGCAAGCTGCTCCAAGGCATCCCTGCCCGTGGTAGGGATTGGAGCTGGAGGAGCTTTAAGCTCCCTTCCCACCCAAACCATTCTAGGAATTCTGGGCCAAAATCCATTAAGTTCCCCAGCAGGCACCTGGGAGAGCATGGCTGATAAGAGCATCAACGCCCAGCAAGATCCACATCACCCCATGGAGACTGATCCCAACCTCTGGAACGAACCACTCACAGGTCGAGGCCGTTGGGGATGATGTAGGAATCCCACCACTCGATCTCCGGGATCTCCCCTTCCTTCAGCTCCTTCTTGGGGGTGATGAGAGCCAGCTTGGTGGACGTGTGGATCCCGGTTTTCCGGGCAGCTTGCGAGATCTCCGCCTGCAGCTTTTCCAGCTGAGCCTGAGC